CCCCAAAACCCCAAAACCCCTTAAGTAAAGTTTTTAGGATTAGTTTAATTTAATTATGAAGTAAATAATATGATTTTATGACTCAAGAGAGATTCAATGATTCCAGTAGCTATGGGTTGATTTCATATCTGGCAAGATAAAATCCATCTTTCTCACAAATGAATGCATTTTTCATGATTGGATCAAATATCACTGTATCTTCTTTAGCATCAGTATCTAAAATAGCAGTTCTATCACTTTTGTAAATCTCACTATAGAAATTGGAAAATGGATCTAGAATGGCAAAGGAATTCAATTCCTAGCAAAGGACATATGGATAGTTTACTGGATCATAACCAGGCATCAGATTCAATGATAAACCAAGTTTACCAGTACCAGCACCTAATCCTATTGGTTTTTTCTTGTCAATATCAACAATGAAATATTGTGGGCTTTCAAATGTCAAAACCAATAGCAAATTTTTATCTAATTCTACAATGTCCTTTACACTAAGCTTCTCCAAAAACTGCGCATACTTTGTCAGTCTAAGTTTACCCAGACTAACATCAATCAAGGTTAAACCGCTGCCTCTTTACCCAACAGCAAGTAATTGACTTAAATTTAAATCCTTTACAACTAGAACTTCACTTGGTCCACTTAGAGAACCTAAAGTCGATTCCAAACCAGAACTCTCCTACTATAGCTAGAATGAGTTAAGCAACTTAAAATTCATCTTTGTCAGTTGATACTCATAAAGATGCACTGTGCCATTTTAAGATGGGAAAATTACATAGATGTTCTCCTGAGTATTGTAGACAATAGGTCTCAAGAAGATATCATTTACATTCCATGCTTTTCTGAACTACTCATCCTCATAGAAGAGGATGTCACCGTACTTATTATGAAGTTGTAAGATTAGCTAGTTGCCAAATTAGATTATCCATCTTAGATTTGAGTTTCCCCAATGCTGCTAAAGTTCTAAGTACCTTTCGACTTGTAGACTTTATGGATCAATGAATGCTACTCTGTTAGATTAGCCTCTAACTACAATGTAATCCTGAGACCCTTATCTTTCTTGAACTGTCAACTGAGAAATACTCATCAAGTTATGACTACCAGTTTTTACAGTCAATGGCTTGAACTCTTTAACAGCCTCATTTTTAAACAGTGATAAGACTTATCCCTCTTAGAAGTCTTGGTATATCTTCTTTTTCTCATGAGATGATAGATTTTTGTGTTCAAAAATTGATGTGTTGGCGATACTTTTCTGCTGGCTATTATCATTCACATTATCCAGTCCATATTTATACAGCTTATTGTCTATTATAATCTGCTGAGTTTCTATCTAGCCCTTTACCTTATGCTCTAAGTCATGCACATTCCTCTATAGTTCGTTGAAACTGCTCAATACTCTATGATTCATGCTATCTACATAATTATTATTGAAACAATTAATAAGTCTTACCTAATTTTGAAAGCATTAAGTCAGATCTCTTCTACAGATAGCTCAGAACTAAATTCTCAGGATTCTCTGCCAAAAAATGTGAAATATCCTTGCTAATCTAATCACCTTGTCCCTTGTTAATCTCGCTAAGATCACCCAAGGATTGTAGGTCCTCATTCATTTTTTGACTGAGTGCTAACAAATTTGTTGCCTTTTATTTTTATTTATTTGCTTGTGGCGTTGACTGCACCTTTAGATAATTAACAACAGTAAAATACTTTAAATTAATCTGAGAGGGTGCTTTGATTGGTTTGAGTTTGCTAATTGACTTAGATTTATTACAAGAGTGACTTTATTTCTGTGAGTGCTTGTAGCTATTGGATATCTAAGTAAAAGTATTTAGTGATTGATTGAGAAATTGCTATATATTACTTTCATTCGATGCAGGCTCTTCTTCAACCTTCTGCTCCTCTATCAGGCTACTTGAATTATTGGATTAGTCTACTTTAGAATATGAACCTAATGAGTACATTACTTTTGATTCCAGATAACAGTAGATTAAGATGATGTTGTAGATTCTAGAGAATAAGTGATTGACTTTATTCCATTTTCTTAAGAATTTAAATTTAATATATATTTATTAGTTAGATTTTTAAAATTGCAATTGAAAAGTGTATTTGGGGTTTTGGGGTTTTGGGGTTTTGGGG